AAGATTCCACCTAAAAACCTCAAGAGGCAGAGCAATACTAACGAATCTCCTGTCTAGCGTTTCCGACCTCTTCCCGAACGCTTCCGAACAGCCCGGCAGTGAGTGCTAAAAACTCAGCGGCGGTGTCACCGTGCGGAGCTTGGCTCACGCTGTGTGTACAACAACGGACAACAAGGGGCAACGTGGAGACTAATCAGGAGCGAAATTAGCGTGGAAGGGTTGAAAAAGGGTATCTAATCAACTGCTAGCCCTTTTCACTCATGCTCTGCAGAAGCGATCGTAAACTGTCACCGTATCACCTGCCTTCCCGTTGCTCAGCAAGTTGCCCGAAGACGCTATAGGGCGCTGTTCGGCTTGGGAAGGGCATTTGCACGTTTGCTAGTTCCTGTTACTTCATGAAAACTAACAGGTCTCACTTTGGTTGAACTGTAAACTCCTGTGAAGCAAAGAATAAGTGACCCACTTGTAAAAGGAATTCACGATTTCCACTAGGTGGCTTGAACTAGCTTCGCTAAGCCATTTTCTGCCCCCACCAAGCGGAAGTGTGCTCAAAATAGTAGTCGTAGAAAATATACGTGAAGTGCGAGGCGCTATTGATTAGGCCCTTCAAGAAACATGCTTAGAGCTCGGATTATGGTTGGGCATCATGAGCTTAAACAACAGGGCAATGTGTGATGGTAAAGCAATGTGGGTGGTTTGGGGAGAGTATAGTAGTTTTTCCAAGCCGGCGAGGTGTTTACTAAGGAACTAGAGTACAATGTACTTGACACATGACATTTTTCAGTGGCACTCTAACATACACCTAACTCTGAGGGCTATTGATTGTGCTATATCGGCTTCGAGAGCCTTCGAAATTCAATTTCCGCTTTTCCTTCATGCTTAAATTTCTTCGCTTCAAAAAGCGCATTCAATAAAATCTTGTCAGTTTTGAAAATTTGTTTTCGGTCAGTTTTTTCTTGAGCGTTTTCACCTTAACCATTTCATCGTATTTCCTGGAAGGAATATCGATCCAACAACCCCCTACCCTCCATTCTCCCCGGGTCAAGTACGACCACTGTCGTAGGAATCGCCAACGGTGGTGCGCCTCGCGTGGTTCTCACGTAAAATGTACGCAAATTGTTTATGTCAAGGTTCCACTCGATTGTTTCCGGAAATCGTATCCGCGCTAGATTACTGTAGTGTAAAGACTTTGTCCTGATTGTTTGACGATGCGCTGTAACGGAAGGATGTGTTGTGTATTGATCGTTGTTTCCATTCCCATTCCTTTTTTGAATGGGTTGTAGTAATTAATGTGGGAAATTATTCGCCTGATCCCGCTGAATAAGCATACACGTCACTGGAATTCGCAGCGCTATCAGTTTTTTTATCGATTGGTTGGAGCTTTGCAAAAATCTCATGGCTCAAGGGTATATGGAGAGGCAACTTAGATCACAGGGCCCCGAAGGCACCCAAAATCACAGAAGGCATTTTTCGCGCGCTGTTCGTTTTGGAGGAAGCATTTTGCTCTTTCAGTAATTCTTTTTTGATTCACGTTGATAACAGTTCTCTTTTTGGTGCAACCTGTGGACTTCTGTGAAGCTGCGAAGTGGTGCAAACGAGCCCTTTAGTCACAAGAATTCACACGTTTTTCAGGCGAGTGCCCTTGCTACGAGCTCAGTACTCTTCGGAGCCCCTCCACACCGAACTGCGCCCACTTTTCGTTTTTCAGGGGCGTTCCGGAAAATTCTATAGCGTGCTTTGGACGGGGCCAAAAGTTCGGCCAGCGCTATATCGCCAAGAAAACTGGTGTTCGCGTTCCTCAAGTCGGATTTGGAAGCGAGAGGATGAAACTTACTCGGTGAGCGGAGAGCGCCAAAACGGGCCAGAGCACTGCAGTCACTACAGCAAATAGTGCGTTTGCAATTCACATGTGGGAGGGCGGGGGAGAGGCGCGAGAGGCGCGGTTTTTGCAGCAGCTTTTGGAAGGAAACATATTTCGCGTGGGTGACTTTTTTCACGTGCCGTTATAATCCCTTCTCGGCTGGCTGGTGGCGGTCCGGGACTGAGGCAATTGTCCGCGAAAGTATGGTAGAAGTTCAGTGATGCGTTTAGAAAGTCAGGTGAGAGTTATGAGTAAAATGGTAGGGATAGGATTGAGGATGGAGAAAGAAGGCATACGGAAGGAGGAAACTTTTGAGGATGGATTCATTTTATACGCAATTTTTTCCTAGCTGCAGGAATCGCGCCGTTGGTCCCCTTCCTCTGCAGTCGTAGCCTCCTCCAGCTACGCTAGCGTCGAGACATTTTTTCCCCTGAAGGATCGCTCCGACGACTTCTCCCACCTCCCGTGCTTTCAGATGGAGATCCTTATTTTTGGATGTCTACCGTTTCTTCGCCGTTCACCATAGAGAGGAAAGAGAGGAAATCGAAGAAATTATGTGGAAACAAAGCCTAAGCTCTCAAAAGGCCTCTTGTGCGAATTCACCACTGCCTTAGTCTGACGAGATAGTGCACAAAGTGCATCGCCATGTTACATTAGCACCACTTGAAAATCTTTCGTTGAAATTTAACAAACAAGTGCGTAACCGGTTAGTCACGTAGGTTATAACTATAAAACTCACCTACACTACCCATTAAATTAATGTTAATTGGGACAAAAGAACAGCTGAACTTTCTTAGCGGGAGTTTGGCAAAATGGACTGCTATGGATTCCCCAGGGTAATTATGGAAACGCCTCCGTGGCAACGTTGTAATAATAGGTGAAGAAGAGTGCTGATGAACTTTGGCTGTACTCATTGTTAGCTACAGCTGCATTGTCTATCGCACGTGTCTCTTGTTGCTGCTGCTGGATTGTTCAACTAGAATTAAAACGTTTTTTCCAGGAACCATGCCCTGCCGTCCAATAGTGTTGTCGGGACCATCAGGAGGTGGAAAAAGTACGATTCTTTCTCGGGCTATGAAAGAATATCCGAACAGCTTCGCGTTTAGTGTGTCACGTAAGTTTTTGGTGTAATTGATTTTGCACTTTTTGTTTTTCGAGTTGATTTGTTGACATGCGCTGGTGACTGATAAGAAGGGACTGCATGCTGTTACGCTCGATGGGAGCGCCTTCTTTCCCGTTCTGGCCCTAACACTTTATTGGATAGGCTTTGATTTTTGGGGGGAGGTTTGAGCGTTTCTCGGGATTTCCAGCGGATTTCCAGTGCTCTTCTTGTTTCCCACTTTTTACAACGTTTCCGGAAGTCATCATTCAATGAAAATTAAAATTTGTGTAGACAATCGCACTAAATTCAATCTAAATCCGAGGTGACAGCTCTAAATGAACCGCTGTAGTCCCCGTTGACAGACCCCCTCGAAGCAGTAATTGGATGACCTTTGAGGACTACGTTTGTAGTGTACATGGAATCCAGTTTTGTTGTTTGTTCTTCAATGAATAGCGTCGCAGGGGAGAGCAGTAATGATCACAGTTTACTTTTTTATATTTTCGTCTTCTTTTTTACACTTTTCACGCCAATTTCCGCCGCAAGTGATTGAGAAGAGAATGGAATTGTTTTTATCTGGTGGTTTTAGATACTACTCGTAAACCACGGGAAGGCGAAGAGCATGGCGTACACTATTGGTTCACTGACCACGAAGAAATGCAGCGTATGATTGCAAATGGCGAATTCCTGGAACATGCGACATTTCGGAGGAAATACATATGGCACGAGGTTAGTCGCAAACCATTGATTAAACGGCATACATCTCTCTCTGATATTCTCATAGATTAAGTTATTTATGCGCCTTGAAGACGCGCTGACAACACACATAATCAAGGTCAACTCGATTCAATTTATGGTAGCTTTTTGGGCTATACCGTGTGTTGCCATTTCGTTTCGAATGAAACCACTCTCCATATCCTGCAACTGAGAGGGTGTGGCTGTATTCTTCACATGAACATGGTGGTGGCTGCCATTCTGGTGGGATATTGCCATTTGGACGATTGCATTCTTTTGTTTATCCAGCACAGAATAAAGAGACGTCTATCTCAGATTGAAAAGTCCCGCGAAAAACGCATCCTACGCTATGTTCAAATGAAGCACGCAGACACGCCTTTCTAGGTTATGGAGTGTAAGAGTTGAGATATGACCTCAGTTTCCCTCTGTAGGTTTAA